ACCCCCCCCCCCCCCCCCCACTTTCTTTTCCCACTTGAAATTCCTCGCACCTTTCTCCTGGTCTCACGGTTGCTTGACCTTGCTGGGGCCTCTGCAGAAATAATGGCAGCGCCTGGCTCGGGCAGCTTCCTCCCCCTTCTCTCCTAACTTTGATGGCATGAACAAGCAACCGGGCCTCCAATTAACAATTCTAACATTTAACCCTATCAGCTATGCATCACTAGTCTACATTTAATTAAGCTTTAATTTCTAGCTTGCGCAGATCCTGACAATAACTATGTCAGGACATAATTATGAATAATTAGTAGTTATGAGAGTTATATATTATGCACAGGACCAGATGTTCATTACCAATAGCATTATCTCAGTATAAGCGGGAAGGAGTATCAGTCTGCCTGTATCTCACTTCTGGACTCCTCACTGATGTGTGGTTGGTTACTAGACTGTAAGGTTTGGTCTGGCCCAGCAGAGTCTTTCTTAGGTTCTTAACCTGGCTTTTGCATCTGCTTGCATCCGGTAAATTTGCTTTGCAGATCAGACTTACAGGCTTTTAAAAACATGCTCAGTCCACAGTGAACATCTTTGTCATACAGGGCCATAAGCAGGAGAATATTATGAATATTGGTAGTATTTGTAATATTTAGATCTTGGAAAGAAATGGAAAATTCAGACCAGTCAAAGAAAGTACCTCTTTGAATAAATGGCTTAATAATGAAAGGTGCTGTTCTAAGATACATTGATGGCCGCCTGTTTGGGTGGCTATAAATGGGGATTGGATGGATTCATGCAGGATCAGTCTATTCTGATAGTTGTGTGTTGCCTCCAATATTGGAAGTGCCAGGTTTCTCAAGTGCAATTAAGGTGTGTTCTTTCATAAGATTCTGATAGGCAGAAAATAGGCTGCTACCAGTGAGCAAAATGTTGACAGGACAAGACATTTTGCATTCATAAAATAAGATCAGTTGAACTTGGAAAAAAACAAGATGCAGTACAATTACACCAATGACTCTCCTAAGAAGTCTCTGTGAGCATTTGGGAGCACAGCGTTGAGATAAAACTCCATAACCAGCAGCATCTTCTTCCTCTGGGCTGGGGTCAAAGAGAGATATAATTGGGCACTGCCCAGAGCCATCCACCTACAAAGGCCTCTCCTTGGAGGATCCTGGTTTTGTTAGAACCACAGCCAGTTTTATGAAGAGCATGTGAGCAATAACACAATCGAGGAGCCAAAATAGCATCCTTCATTTGCTATGTGCTATATTCCATAACAATTGTTCAAACTGAGTGCAGAGGAAGAGGAAGCCAAGGTGTCTTTCCAAGATGGCTGTATCCCCATTTAGCCCTAGTTGCCTACATTCTCAGTATTATATTGTAACTCAGAGAGTTGCAGTAGAATTGGGAAATAAATGAATATGGTACATTGCCAACAGTAGGCAATGAGCCTGGGTGTTAAAAACTAATTGCTCTGGGACATGTAATTGGAAGGAGTCAGAAGTAGAGAGAATAGAATAGGCATAAATAAATGTAAAGAATTCATGGGAATCGGTAAGGGGCTTCTTAGTAGACAGCATGAAGCCTACAAGGAATTCAGAGCTGAGTATCTCTGGAAGGGAGGAGAATTCTTTTCCTGAGGAACTGAGGAGAATTCTTTTCCTGAGAAGAAAGCTGGGTGTCCAGAAAGGGTACAAAAAGATTGTGTCCATGGGGTGTGCATGTGTGTTAAAAAAGTCAAGATGGCAGTTGCAATTTTACGGTTGAAGCAATGCACATTAAAAACAGGTGGAGTTTTGATTAGATAGTCATGGTTGCCATCTTGACTTTTTGGAAATACCCCCCCCCCCAAACATCCCTGTTGTGGAGCTAAGGGTATAAGGCCTTTTCTTGGACACAGATGAATGTCTGGGGGAGAAAGCAGAGAAGCAGAAGGTTAACCTGGACGCCATGGGTAAGAAAAGGAGGGGGGAAGGGGGCATGATTAGCCTATAGTAAAGAAGCAGCCTAAGGAGATAAAGAGGTAGGAGACAGACCTTTAAAGTAAGAGAGGCAGAAAGATTACTTGAGAGCGAGGGAGAAAAGAGACAGAAGTTTCAAGCTAGGGGGGTGATAGAAAGACTGCTCATAAATTAGAGCTAAAAGGGGAAAGCAGGCGGCTACAACTCAGTGGTTACCAGGGGAGGAGACCTATGGATGGTACCACGGGATTTGGTTCAGTTGGCAAACTCAGCCAGTAGCAAATTTCAACACCTGGTGTGTGTTGGCTGAGGGTCAGCTGTGTTTGCAGAGCCGAGAGGAGGAGAAGGAAGAAGAGACTGTATTTGGACGAGCCAACAAAGAGGAGGCTCAGAAGAAATCAAGCAGCCAAGAGTGAGACTACTCTGTGAGACTGGCTGCATGTTTGAAATAAACCACTTCTCTATGGGCACGAGAAAGAGAGACGGCCAGCACTAAGCAAGCCTCTCAAGAGCAAGGGATTCACTGCCATCAAGTTCAATAGCTCAACATTATTAATATTACCATTGTGCCTGTGTACTAATATAATAAAACTGTCTGTGTATCTGTGTGGTTATTGGTTCTGAACACAAGTACTATACTAAAATAGTTTCAACAAAGATCTGCAGAGGGAGGAGGAAATCATCCCTTAGAGCTCCCCCTGCTGGTTGGAGAGTAGGCAGCAGACATACTGTACAGTAGAGCAGTGTTGTCCAAACTTGGCCACTTTAAGATGAGTGGACTTCAACTCCCAGAACTCCCAGAA